AATTATACTTGTATATAATAGAGTTGAACTGAGTTGAATTAACCTAAACTTGCCATATCGATAGAGTTAAACTCGGAATGGAACTAAGTTCGTTTCAGTTAGGTTAACAGAGAAACCAAGGTTGAACACCTTGGTTAGTCTTTGTTTGAATCTGATTTCAGCGAAAGACCATAAACGCATAATGTGAACTTAAGTCGAACTTAGGTTCATATTAGGGGGCAGGGAGCAGGAGAGAATGATAAATAAACTTGAGAGCTTGGGACTTGTTGAAATTTTTAGAAAAATTTACAAGTTGAAGATTGGACAAGGCAATAATGAAAGATGTACCCGAGGTACATCTTACCCCGAGATGACCAACCAGGTTGTCAAGCTTGGAAAGGTGGGAAGGGTGAAGTCTTGATAGAAGACAACAAGTTGAAGTAAAGAAGCAATACTTGATTGAATAAATTTTAAGAAACAGCACTTGTAAAAATATAAAGAAATATTTTTAAGTGTTAGCCAAAGTATTCCAATGGTTGGCTGAGACAAACAGTCGAGGTATTATATCCGAGGTCCTCTAAACCGAAGTGGTTACGCAGTTAAGGTGTGCTAGGATGAAAGTGGTGGAAGAGCAAAAATATTCTAAGTATGGAAGCATACATTCAACATTTAGAGAAAAAGAAGCATGCATTCATAGAAGCAACTTGTTTAAAATTGCAGACAAAAAAGGCACTTTGGCCTGACAAAGAGATTACTTGTCCAAAGTTACAAAGAATTACAATTGTTCAAAAGTAAAGTTCAAAGTGAAGAAAAATTCCTAAGTATTGGAATTATGGGCACTGATCTCAGGTTGCTCAACCTCGGTTGTTGGCGTTGTGTCAACGTCGGTTGGCAATGTGGCTTCCTTCTTTGCCTCTATCTCGGCGTCAATTTCCAAAAGGGTCTAGTCCAAGATTTTCTCGGCTGTCTTGACCTTGGCCTCGGAAGTTGTTTGTTTAGGAGAGGCATCCTTGGAAACCAAGTCTTCCTCTTCATCATGAGTCAAGTCCAGGACTTGATCATTCCATGTTGGAGACTTGGCCCCATCAGCAACTAGCTTCTCTTCTTCGGCATCCCTTGCGTCGGTTTCCTCTTTATCGGCATTGCCGCCCGATCCTTTAGTAGGCGGAGGGAAAACAACTTGGAGTTTGTTGATATCTCGGAGGTCGAAATCCATTGGGATGGAAAGCTTGTTCAGAGCAGCCGTCCAAAGCAGCCGTCCAGCCACGATAAAAATCTCGGCTGCAAGCCTTGTAACGCCCCCAAAATAATAACATTAAACCCATCAAATAAAACATTCATTGACATATGAAATATCCACAATCTTCTATTCATCAAAGTTTCATTACAAAAGTATTACATGTTAACAACAAAAGCAAAATGCCCTACGGGCTTACAGCTTTCCAAGTTAACACTTGGTTACAACAAAAGAGTACTAACTCATCTACACCTTAAGCCCTCGGCTTGAATATGCATGTAATACATCAAAAAGGAACTTAAACAACAGAAATTTGTCCGCCTCTAGCCTCCCAAGCTATGACCTTGGAGGTGGCATGCTACCTGTACCTGAAAATGATATTCCCATAAAGGGTGAGCCACAGCCCAGTAAAAATACACTAAACTAAATATGAACAATGACTAAGAGATTAGCAGTTGATAGATGGCCAATACAGATATTTTCCCTTATCACATCCTGCGGTTTCATGACATACAAGTCCATATTACAGTCCATTTTCCAATTTCTTTCAATTCTCAATTTACAACCGTGGCTCAGAACCTGGCCAAACAACTCATATGAGACAGTAACTCATATCAAACACTTCCCATTTCATAATAGATAAGCATACTAGCTATATCACACAACAACAGATAAGCATACAAGCTATATCATTTCTTCCACAGATATGCATATGAGCACTATCACACTTCCAATGACAAGCATATGAGCTCTGTCAACACAGTAATAGATAAACATATGAGCTCTATCTACGGAGTCCATCCCCTATCTCCTCCCAACAACATCCGGTTTAGAGGTTCATCCCCTATCTTCCCCTAAACCGTGGAGTACATCCCCTATCTCCTCCAACACAACACAATGCATATAAACAATAATTATACACATCATCACGCAACACATAAATTTAATGTGTTCTTTCGATCAATCATAATCAATGACTCATTCCAGTAATTAGTTTCCGTTTGCCTAATCATCATGCATTGTCTACAACAATCACGACTATCCTCCACCGATAGCCCAAAGCAGTTATTTCTATACAGTAAATAAATGCAACAAATAGATATAAAATCGACATTTCCAACTAGGTGAGAACTTCCATTTTTAATTTTATGCAACTTCCATTTTTATTCAATTTCTTTTTCTATGGGATTTCCTTTTTTTATTTAATTTCTAAATAGATCGTTAAGGTATAGTGGTTTCTTGAATGAACTTCCATTTCTATTTTTATTCGACTTCTGTTTTTATCCAATTTCCTTTTCTGTTCAATTTCTTTTTTTTATTTAATTTCCAAATAGATCGTTAATGGATAGTGGTTTTCTGAATGAACTTCCCCTTTTAATTTTATGCAACTTCTATTTTTATTTTTATTCAACTTTCATTTTTATTCAATTTCTTTTTCAATTGAATTTCCTGTTTTACTTAATTTCCTAATAGTTCGTTAAGGTATAGTGGTTTCATGAATAAACTTTCATTTTTAATTTTATGCGACTTCCATTTTTATTTTTATTTAACTTCCATTTTTATTCAATTTCCTTTTCTATTCAATTTACTTTTTTTATTTAATTTCCAAATAGATCGTTAAGGTTGAATGGTTAGTTGAATGAACTTTCATTTTTAATTTTGATGTAACTTTCATTTTTATTTTTATTCAACTTCCATTTTTATTCAATTTCCTTTTCTATTCAATTTCCTTTTTTTATTTAATTTCTAAATAGATCGTTAATGTATTGTGGTTTCTTGAATGAACTTCCATTTTTAATTTTCTGCAACTTCCATTTTTATTTTTATTCAACTTCCATTTTTAATCAATTTGCTTTTCTATTCAATTTCTTTTTTTTTTTGTTTAATTTCCAAATATATCGTTAAGGTATAGTTGTTTTTTGAATGAACTTCCCTTTTTAATTTTATGTTATTCAACTTCCATTTTTAATCAATTTGGTTTTCTATTCAATTTCTTTTTTTTTTATTTAATTTCCAAATAGATCGTTAAGGTATAGTTGTTTTTTGAATGAACTTCCCTTTTTAAGTTTATGTAACTTCCATTTTTATTTTTATTCAACTTCCATTTTTATTCAATTTCCTTGTCTATTGAATTTCATTTCTTTATTTAATTTCCAAATAGATCGTTAAGGTATAGTGGTTTCTTGAATGAACTTCCATATTTAATTTTCTGCAACTTCCATTTTTATTTTTCTTCAACTTCCACACAACAACAGATAAGCATACAAGCTATATCATTTCTTCCATAGATATGCATATGAGCACTATCACACTTCCAATGACAAGCATATGAGCTCTGTCAACACAGTAATAGATAAGCATATGAGCTCTATCTATGGAGTCCATCCCCTATCTCCTCCCAACAACATCCGGTTTAGAGGTCCATCCCCTATCTTCCCCTAAACCGTGGAGTACATCCCCTATCTCCTCCAACACAACACAATGCATATAAACAATAATTATACGCATCATCACGCAACACATAAATTTAACGTGTTCTTTCAATCAATCATAATCAATGACTCATTCCAGTAATTAGTTTCCGTTTGCCTAATCATCATGCATTGTCTACAACAATCACGACTATCCTCCACCGATAGCCCAAAGCAGTAATTTCTATACAGTAAATAAATGCAACAAATGGATATAAAATCGACATCCAACTAGGTGAGTGATAAATAATCTAACTACACCCTTTTATCTCATAACTTCCCAAATCAATTCCTCACTTCTCATAATTAATTATGCAAATTAATTAACCAATGTAATTAGGGCATTTTCCATAATTTACATTACAACCCTTAGGTTCCATTTTTATTAATGTCTTAACATTAATTTCACATTGTTCATGCCAAACATGCATCTAGGTTTTATATAGTTAAACCCCAACTCTTGTAAATTTACAAAACCCCAACTTTTGTAAAATTACACAAAAGCCTCAAACGTTCACAAAACTACCAAACCAACCCCAACATCTCAAAATACTAAAATCTAAAGACAAAATCTATAGAGAGGAGTAGGATATCCCTACCTTAAATCCGGAGCCCCAAGGGAGAAGATGACAAAACCCAACATGCTCCAAATCCCGAAATTTTCAGATTAAAATGTAGCCCTCGACGATCAATAACCTTTTTGTAAAGGCCAAAGATGAGCAAATCACTCTTACTAAATCAAAACCTAGAGAGAAGGTAGAGTTCTAGAGTGAGAGGCTCAACAATGGTGTTTTTGGAAAAGTAGGAGAGAGAAGAGAAAGTGAAAAAGTGATTTGAAAAGTCAAAACACGGAGCTTTAACCCAGTTGCCCCGCTCGAGCGTCCAACTCCCCGCTCGAGCGTCACTCACAGACTCCCGCTCGCGTGGTCAATCCCCCGCTCGAGCTCCGGATACACACTCCCAGAACTTTTGCAGACGGGTCTCCCGCTCGAGCTTCCAACTCCCCGCTCGAGCGTCACTCACACAAACCCGCTCGAGCGGCCAATCCCATGCTCGAGCGTCGAACACTGCACAGGAAATACTGGATGGGTGAAACTCCCGCTCGAGCGCCAAAATCCCCGCTCGAGCGGACAGGTCAAAATCTGGGCAACTAGTTTTAGTTTCTAATCTCAACCAACCTGTAACAGACCTGCCCTACACATCCTATAACTCAAATACAAAGTAAGAAATGATGTACATAAGGTAAGGATCAACTACTAACATCCACGGACACATGTCCGGATCACTGTACAACAAGGGTAAACCCGGGATCGCTATAAGCCTGGTTTTGCTTGTTCATTGTAGGCGTCACGTACGTTGGCCTGGCCTTCAGCGTAGGCCTTTTTGTTAGCTGCCTTAATTTCGGATGCCTTGGTCGCCAGGGCCTCCCGCAACTCCGCCTCAGCTTTGGCAATTTTGGCTTCAGATTCTTTAGCCTTAGTCCTGAGTACATAGGCAACCGCTTCAGCAGCTTGCGTCTTTTCCTCGACTTGATCTTGAGCTTGTTTGGTAGCTTTGGCTTGATCCAGTAGTATCATCATTTTTACCTCGGCGTTATTAAGGGAAGCAAGGAAGCCAACAGCCTCTTTGGTCTTGCAGACCAATTCTTTCTTGAAAGCCTCGGCTTTCGTTGCAAAGGAATGAGTGCGCTGGATCACCTAAAAGTGGAAGAATGAGCAAGTTAGTAACATTTCTAAGTATGAGAACTTGAGATAAAAGCCAAAAAAGACAGGAGTTAAAAACTTAACAAAACAAAGTGTTGCATTATTAAAGCAGAGTTTTTATATTCGGTGATCTCGGCCATTCGATTGAGATCAATAGGCAGAAGAACAACGGTGGAGAGAGAGGCGCCAACTTCGATGCTGTCAATCACACTGTCGCCAGTTGTCATCGGCTGGTCACCAATCAAAATCGCTGGGGCCCATGGCTCGTTAGTTTTGAAAAATCCTCAGTCGTCTTCACTTTTGGACCTCAACATTTTGATTGCCGATTGTCGAATATCTCGACATTGGAAGGCCTCTTCTCGGTGGAGGCATTTTTCTCAACCTTGGCTAGCTTGGAGATTGGCAAGGTGTCTTCGATGTCCATTTGAGTAACTGGGGCCTTTGCCTTAGCCATCTTCACCCTCTTTGATTTTGGCTTGGACTGGGACTCTGATGGAGAAGATTGTACAGTCACCACTCCTAGTAGGTCAGTCAAGAGGTCCTCCACGACGGCTTTGTTACAGCCCATCTCTTCAGCTATTGCAGCGACAGTGATTTTAGTGCGAAAATGAATTACTAGCAGAGCGATTGGTGGGTTTGTTGGGTCATATGCCGATTCCTCAAAATCTCGTCATTTGCGACTTCAGGTTCTGCTGGCAAGGACGTTTGGTGGAGCTTGACGTTGGCGTCGACGTTGGGAATGTGGAATCAACTGGGGGAAGGATGTGGATGTAACCTCAACTGGATCTGAAGAAGAGGCCTGGTCTAGCCTGGGTGAGGAAGCAACTGGTGGAGTTCTTGCAGAAAATAGAGTCTTGCTTCGACGGAGAACGCCAGGCAAGGCCAATTTGTAAGTTGGAATGTAATCAAGCAGTAAGGGGGCCTTGCTTTTCTCCACTGGCAAGTCCAACAGCTTTTTTAGATCGGAGCCAGCGAAGAAAGTTTGTTGAAAATCCTTTGCTGGCTGGGGAAGAGTTACAAAAGAGAACAAGAAGAAAAACATTCAAAAAGAGATATATAAGTTGACAAGTCCTAGCAACAATAGGATTAAGAGGATGACTCGGTTCTTACTATCACCCTCTTTAAACACCGATCGGCGCAGAAGGAAGAGATAAAGATCATCATCAGGATCAAACTCCTAGTTATCTGAGACGATCAGGTAATCATCTCCAGCACCTTTGTTGGAGTCTGGGAGGTCGGCTATGATTCTGTAGGCAGTGGATCTGAGCTTGAGGTAATAAACGTAGCCTTTTTCAAACTTTAGGCCACACATGTTATAACAAAATTGGATGTCGGCCAATGTGATCCTAACTTTTTCTTGATGCGCAAGGGCAATTATACCGTTGATAACCCTGTAAGAATTGATGGCTAACTGCATAAGGTTGAGTTTGTAATAGTGGAGGACTTCCTTGAAGCGAATGTCTAAAGGAAACCGAAGTCCACACTCAATCAATACAACAACAGGGAAGAGCATGGAGTCTTCATCAGGCATGATGGAATCCTCCGCTCCAACTAACCTAATCTGGACGTTGGCTGGGATAGAGAACTCTCTCTTAAAGTACTCAAATTTTTTTGGGGTGTCTACCCTTCACCTGAACATACCTATGTTCGCGACTTATGATATTTTTTGAGGGATTTCAGAGAGAAAAGACTAGTAGGGCTTGGGAACCTCGGCTAAACCCTAAACAGGTATTGAGGCAAGGGTTTTGAAGATCTAAAGGGAATCTGTTTCAATTTTCCTAAGAATGTGATTGCTGTCAAACCCCCAAGCCTAAGTCCATAACAAAAATAAGAATCAAAGGCAAGAATCTGGAAAACAAGTGAAAGAGAAACAGAAAAGAGCATGATTCAGACTCAAAAAAAATAACATAAATTCAAGGACACAGAGTAGGTGTGTGCAGATATGTAAGAGTCAAGCGCAGTGTCAAATTGTTAAAACATCAAACACATGAACAGTGCGTATGTGTGTGCAAGAACCACGAACATTGTATATAGACAGAGATAGATTGAACAACACAAATCGCAAACAAGCATGTTTGACATTTTAAGTGCTAAAATTCAAAGCATGGTGAAGATTCAAGATGATCAAAACATAAGAATAGGTGAAAAAACAGAAAGGGGATTCGATGGCAACATGTGGGGCATTTCGACAGACGCAATGTAAAACAATATGGCGAAGAACAGTACAAATTATTCGAAAAATATAAACAGAAATACGGATAAGTATCAGGGACTTATCGACTGGAGCCAAAGCAAGATACGCCGAAGTCAAACGACTTGAACGATTAGAGTCAAATGATGAATGGTTCACCGGCGGTAACAGAAAAGGCAGTTGTAGAGCTTGAGAGCTTGAAAAATGGCAGTTTGGAAGAGAAATATTAGAAAGAGAGAGAGAGAGTCTGAGAGACGAAGCAAATTGAATTCGTAAAAATGAAAAGACAAAGGAAGAAGAAAGGGTTTTGTGGAAAAAATTGAAAAGGTGGAAAAACATAATGAGGCGCCTGGATGACGTACTTGTCAGGCGGTGTACGTAGAAGCGACGCGACCTGACAGCACGTGTCAAGTACGAATGGATACGTGGAGGAAACGGTTGAGTAAACCGTATGTAACAGCTCATGCGCAATCAAAACTCTTGGAGTTCTTGATTAATTAAGCAAAAACCTCAGCCAGAGGTGCGATCTCAGTTAAGACATTAAAAGAACTTGACTCTTGGTTCTTGATCATTAGTAAAGATGGAAAATTGAGTTCTGGGTACTTGAAACCGACGAGTCATGATCTCAGTCGATAGAAAAAATGAATTCTAGCTGACATAATATATAAGCGATGTAGGTTCAGTCACCTCAGGTTGCCGAGGTAATAGAACCTAGGGGGCAGTTGTAGGGACATATTTTGTGAATGACAACAAGTGGCCAAAGGTGATGCTGAAGTGTCAGCTAAGGTACCAAGTGGCCTGGTCATGATACCAAGGCAATCTTGGCTGGGCTGAGGTTATCTGCGGAGATGTCGGAATCCGAAATGAAAGGATAAGAGACAAAAGTCCTAGAACAGAAGAGGATCTCAATCTGGATAAAGATAAAGCTCTTAGGGAGTTTATCCCTATCTAGCTGAGAGTCCAGGATGAGCATTAAGCCTGAGTCCATTAAAGTTAGGCTTTTATAGGGATCAGGCCAGGGCTGCCTATAAAAGTAGGTACCCCCGTGGGTCTTAGGTATGTGTGATATGTTGTGAGCAGTAAGTTCTTTCTTGTGAGTTAAACATAATTTGCTATCTTTGAGAGATATTAGATTACTGACTTGATTGTCGGAGTGCCCCCCGAGTGAACGAACCATCGACAGATTCTTATCTTTCTATGACAAGTTGTTCGGACTTGATCTATTATGTCGGTGCTCTCCAGCTGAGTTCTCCGTTTAGTTATGTGGTCAAAAATCAACACCCACAACTATATTTATTTATATGATTATTGTATAATAATTTTCTATAACTCTTGTCATTTAAATTTTAATTTAATTTTTAGAGTTATAAGGTTTGTAATTTAATTGGGAGTTATAAGCTATTAAATGAATTTATTATTTTTACAGTTTCTTTAAATTATTTGTTGTGTATTTTGCTGTGGTTTTGTGCTAACTTTCTTCACAGGAATACCTTTGCGAAAGAGAATGGAAAAAAAAATACAAATCCAAATGAATAAAGTTTAGGATTACAAGCAGAAAAAATAGTAATAGGAATACTAACCTTTTGTGTTGAACAGACGTACCTAAGCGTGAAAAGGAATGTTTTGGACTATGTTTGAAGCAATTGTTTGCATGAGTTTTAATTGTGGTTATTTACCTATGTGTTAAAGCAAGTTTTATTTGCTTGGATATTTGATATAAAGAAGATTAGCAGTTGATAGATGGCCAATACAGATATTTTCCCTTATCACATCTTACGGTTTCATGACATACAAGTCCATATTACAGTCCATTTTTCAATTTCTTTCAATTCTCAATTTACAACCATGGCTCAAAACCTGGCCAAACAACTCATATGAGACAGTAACTCATATCAAACACTTCCCATTTCATAATAGATAAGCATACTAGCTATATCACACAACAACAGATAAGCATACAAGCTATATCATTACTTCCACAGATATGCATATGAGCACTATCACACTTCCAATGACAAGCATATGAGCTCTGTCAACACATTATTAGATAAGCATATAAGCTCTATCTATGGAGTCCATCCCCTATCTCCTTCCAACAACATCCGGTTTAGAGGTCCATCCCCTATCTTCCCCTAAATCGTGGAGTACATCCCATATCTCCTCAAACACAACACAATGCATATAAACAATAATTATACACATCATCACGCAACACATAAATTTAACGTGTTCTTTCGATCAATCATAATCAATGACTCATTCCAGTAACTAGTTTCCGTTTGCCTAATCATCATGCATTGTCTACAACAATCGAGACTATCCTCCACCGATAGCCCAAAGCAGTTATTTCTATACAGTAAATAAATGCAACAAATGGATATAAAATTGACATTTCCAACTAGGTGAGTGACCTGAAATCCAACTACACCCTTTAATCCCATGTATTCCCAATCTCAACATTTCTATTTCATAACCTCATTTCTCACGATTAATTAACCCAATTAATCAAACAATGTAATTAGGGCATTCTCCATAATTAACATTACAACCCTTAAGGTCCCATTTTCATCAATGATTCAACATTTATTCCATTTCTCTATGCCAAACATGCATCTAGGTTTATTATAAATAAAACCCCAACTTTTGTAAAATAACACAAAAGCCCCAAACTTTGTGGTTTCTTGAATGAACTTCCACGATTAATTTTATCCATAGAGAGGAGTAGGATATCCCTACCTCAAATTCGGAGCCCCAAGGGAGAAGATGACAAAACCCAACGTGCTCCAAATCCCGAAATTTTCAGATTAAAATGTAGCCCTTGACGATCAACAACTTTTTTGTAAAGGCCAAAGATGGGCAAATCACTCCTACTAGATCAAAACCTAGAGAGAAGGTAGAGTTCTAGAGTGAGAGGCTCAACAATGGTGTTTTTGGAAAAGTAGGAGAGAGAAGAGAAAGTGAAAAAGTGATTTGAAAAGTCAAAACATGGAGCTTTAACCCAGTTGCCCCGCTCGAGCGTCCAACTCCCCGCTTGAGCGTCACTCACAGACTCCTGCTCGAGCGATCAATCCCCCGCTCGAGCTCCGGATGCACACTCCCAGAACTTTTGCAGACGGGTCTCCCGCTCGAGCTTCCAACTCCCCGCTCGAGCGTCACTCACACAAACCCGCTCGAGCGTCGAACACTGCACAGGAAATACTGGATGGGTGAAACTCCCGCTCGAGCGCCAAAATCCCCGCTCGAGCGGACAGGTCAAAATCTGGGCAACTAGTTTTAGTTTCTAATCTCAACCAACCTGTAACAAACCTGCCCTACACATCCTATAACTCAAATACAAAGTAAGAAAGGATGTACATATGGTAAGGATCAACTACTAA